TAATTATTTTTTTTATATAAAAAGTTATGAGTAAATTTTATATATAAATATAAATTTTGTAATGTAATTACATTCTAATTTATACTTTTTTTTTTAATTCTATTTTTCATCAATATAACTGTGGTAGTTGGTATGGTGTTGAATTATGAACAATCAATCATAATATTTTATTGTTTTTCTTAGTTATTTTAGTTTCAGATTTACTTTGAAAATAAATTCACTCAAGAATTGTTAATAAATTGTACAAATAATTTCAAAGAAGCTGCAAAAAATTGAATTAAACATGACATTTTGAAGTAGAAAGACATACTTCAATAACTATTTGATTTTCAACCTCAGTTTTTTTTTTTAATGGTGTAGATTCACAGAATTCAATTTACAAATAAGAGTATCTGTTATCCAAACATTTATTTCTAAATAAATAGTTTCGCTTGTGAATTTCTTGCAGTATAATGGAAACGTTATGTTTTAACTTGTGTATTTATAGCGCAGGATTATATAGAGTTGTCTGATCTAAATAAGTCATTCTATGAATATCTGCTTTATCATTCTGGTCTCTTTTTATCTTTCCGCAGATATCATTTGAACTCCAAAGTTGACTGGAAGACCATTCCAACTTTAGAATGTTAAATTTCACAGCATCGTCAACAACAAAACACCTTATAAAACTGACTGACACCACCATGAAAAGAAATAAAACTTCTAAGGGAAAACAATGCCTTTCCTACACCAAGAAGAGCACAATTTGTTTTATCACCCAGCTTAAAAAAAGAGAAAAAAGAAGATTTCCTGTGGTTTCAAATGAATAACTTGCATTCCCTCTCGGACCATTCTGTGTCACCCTGTAAGAGAAAACACAAAACACTATCATCCCACGCTTATGTATCATGTGTCTAGAAAGCAAATGTTGGAGTGTAATTGTACAAATTATTTAACTCTTTTTTTTTTTTTTTTCTTCTTTTGTTCCTTTTATCTGATAGTCCCATCTTCTAGATCTTTTTCCCGCCTGTTTTTTCTGTTTAGATGATATGTTTCTGATTAGTAAAACTTTGAATCCTGTTATAAAACCATGTGAAAACAAGAAAAGTCATGTAAAATGCTGAAACTAGACCAGGATGGAAGAGCAGCTTTTTTGACGATGCCAATCATGTTTTGTTTTGTTATTTTCGTGTACACTAGGTTGCTCTAGAGGTTGTGTAGTTTTCATGAACGTGACTCGAGCGAGAGGTAAAGTTCACACGCCCTCTTGTGAAAGCTTAATATTCATATTTTTGGGCGTCCCCAGACAGCATTCACCTCTGATCTGTTCCGATTGTTAATATCGCTGGGCTATTGCCGATCACCGGCTAATAAGAACAGCCTTAGCTTTCTAAAAAAAATGCATTAGTTAACTTTCAGTGTGAATCCTGGTCCTTTGTCATTTAAAAAAAAAAGAAAATTCCATAAAAATGTCATATCTCTTTGAAATACTTTGCCATTTTTGAGTCCGAGGTACTCGCTTCATTTATCTACGAATGGCCGTTGTAAATATGGGTATCCGACTTGCACGCGAATGCAGCATTATATCCTAGCTAATGTTTCTTTCCAGTCTCGTCACAGCTTTGTTTGCACAATAAGAAACTTGACTAACGTTTTAAGCGTTAACTAACCAAGCACATGCCGTTAATCACATTGAATGCTAATTTTAATGTAAAAAATGCACAAAAAAGTAAAAAAAAAAAGTGTGTGTGGGGGGAAACTAGCAAAAAATACAATCCTCTCTTTCATCGGATTAAAAACAGTTCAGACTAACCCCTTAGCTTATCTTCTGGTTTTACGTTTATACGTTCCTTTGAGCTTTTGGCTTTAATTCCGATTTTTGGGATGGTTTTGGTCGGTGGGCGTTGGGGAGGTCGGGCGGGGAGTGTTTAAGGTTTTTTTTTTTTTTTTTTCAGTGGTGTCGGGATCGGTGCTTGGAAGCAGAAAGTAGCCGTAATAAAAGCGCTTTTTTAAGGTCCGTTCTGACTGAATTAGCAGTTCCTCGTTCTTCAGACTTCCTGGAGTAAATCATGCCAAAAATCATTTGATAGTCGGGTATGTTTCCAGTCTGATGTGTGCTTATCTTTGCTAGAAATTATTTCAGGTAGTCATTTCCTCATTGAGTCGTATTAATCGGTTATGAAGAACTTTTTATTGATAATTTGTGATTTCCAAGCCTGGAAAACTCATGGGAGTTCATAAAATCTTAAGTCCTTATGTATCATATTTGCAAGTACAGTTACTTTATATACAATTTTAAAATTTTCTTAAAGGATCTCAAAGGTCACAAACTCTATTGGTCGAACACTGGGAACCCTGGCTTTGGGTCAACAACAACTAACAAAATGTGTACTATTTAGCCAAAAACCAAATATTATTAAGCAAACATAAACTATTAACATGGCTGTATAAACAAAAGTTGTTCCAATGAAAACATCGCCATTGTGTCCAAACAGCATCTTCTGTACTGCACTTAACAGTCATTTGGCTGATATGCTTTGAGTTTCCTTTTTTGGTAGCCTACTTAGTGCTCTTCATGCTGTAAGTGTCCATTACTGTTCTTAAGAATAACATTTCTAAATAAACCAGCTGTCAAGAAGGCTGATCATCTCAGCAGGTCCTCGACTTGCACTGGAAATGGATTACTATTCTACACATTGTTCTGTTTGAACTTTGAAAACAATTGCTAATTTTGCATGTGAATGTGTCTTTGAACATGTATCTACAACAATGCATTATTTGTGGAGTTATACAAGCAGCTCATTGTTACCACTTATGCAATAGTCAGCAGTTATCTTCAGGAAAAGCAGACAAACATAACCTTACATTTTTTTTAGGTAAATCTGTTTGTTAATACAAATATCTAACCAGCTAATGTGGCAGCCGCTCAGTGCATAAAAGCATGCAGAAATTGTACAGAAGTTCAGCTGTTTTTGAAACTGAACATCAGAGCGGCTAAGAAACGGTGTAATTGTAGATAATTATAACATGAATATGTAGTCAAAAACATGATGCTATAATGTCATCATGACTCTCATGTGTCTCTAGGCAAGAAAGACTGGATGCATATTTTAGTGCTTTTATTACTGGGTGTTATTAATAAAAAGTTTTCAATGCAACATTCTTAGGTGGTCGAGAATGTTTAGATGAGAACACGTGCCTCAATAACTTGGTCAGATATCTGTTTTCTCTTTCTGGTGTGTTGTTTTTCCTCCTTTTCTCCGAAGGAAATGATTTTGGGCCAATTATACCTTATCTGACAGATCTATTCCTGTTTCTTGGGAAAAGTATGCATGCTAGACCATGTGTATGGAAGATGCCTCAGTTAAGCAGTGACTTCCTTTAGAAACAAATGAGTTTCTGAGACACAATCACACTCTTGATTATGTTGTTAGAAATCAAATACCAGCTAATTACTTCCCATATGCATTTACTAAAATAGCCCACTTTATTTAAAAGCAAATTGGGACACAGAATGCATTACTCTAAGGTTTCAAATGGTTGCCTGTTGTAGGATTGTCACAGATTCTGAGTTTAGTGACTCTGGCAGAGGAATACATGTTAATAACAGAGCAAGTAGGAGACAGTATATACTGCAGTAAGTATACGCTAGTATTCTCATGCTGTTAAGCTCACTTGTATAGTTCAAACAGTAGTCAAGACCAATGATTTTGTTTTTGTGATTTTATTAAAACGGACTTCATAAACAATCTTCTTCGCATAGTGCTTTACAAACACATTTTTACATGCAGTTTAACAATAAAAAAGTAAAGACCATCATATAAAATGAAACAAAGAATGTCAATGATAACATACAAAAGTAGTAAAGCTGTGCTGTAGGATGCCTTCATGAATGCATTGATAATACTGGCCCTATATGCAATGAGAAAGCAAAATGTTGTTTGCAAATCAGCAGATATAATTTCTGCCAATTTGCCTCTAAGAAAAATATATAATGCAGGCTTAAAGACTGATTAACCTTATTATCTTGGTATTTAGTGAAATCACATAGTTATACACACTCTTCCCGCCTTCAATCATATTACCTGGAGCCAAATTCCACCAACTGTTCCACTGGATTTCCTCTCAATGGGGTAACAGATAATGGTCTTTTATAGGCCTAGCTGTTGTTTTTTGGGATTGAATGTTTCTTTGAAGTCTTTGAAGTTTTGGAATTCTCATTTTCAGAATTTATTTGATCCAGTGATATAATGAACGCAATGAATCATTTCTGATAAATGCAGATAAATGTTTAAGTGGTGCGATCAGCAGAACAAGCTGCTTTGAAAACATCTTCTGCTTGCCTGGAAACTTGACTAAAACGGCAACTTCCAATAAACTGTTCACATGTATAGTTTAGGGGATTTCATAAACGACATGACATAACGAAATGACATAAACGACTCAACTGTTGTTATACAGTTAAAAAATAAAACATCAGATATTTTAATCTTGGAAGAATATGATGGGAGATGTCTGTCTTGATTGCAGGTTTTTAAATCTGAGCCATTTTTGAGATTTCTTCTGAAACTCTAGAGAAGCACATGAGATGTCTATCTGAGAAGATCTCGGCAAACATCTCAATTTGCTCCCCATTTATCCTCATAGCTGTCTAGGGAATCATTTCTGGAATTCAGATACTGACAAGACACCATTTGTGACTTTTATTTCCTGTAGGAAACAATGATTTCTGTGTCTTACGATAATATCCCCTAGTAACAACGAAAAGTATCTTCTTGAATAAGCTTTGCTGGTTTGTGATAAAACTATATATGCACTTTTAAACACGGAGGTTCTTTCTTCCATTACCATGTTTTACTGTGTTTATACCGTTCCGTGTTTTACCAGAGTTGGGCGTGCTCTTAAAGGTACGTAGCACGGACGTTAAAGCTGCAGTCCGTAAGTTTTGCCTCTTTGTCGCCATCTCTGTTTGAAAACCTGGAATTGCAGCTGTTTGCGGAATTATCTAGCTTGCGTGGGTTGTGAGTCGGCACGGCTCCAGCGCAGATCGGTTAGCTCATATCACATCAAACCGTGCAAATCATTATTATTGTTATACTTTATTCTCAAATTATTAATGTTAAAAACATCAGCATTGCGTGACTATGAGTATAGTGTGTATTATCGTGTAGATTTAAATTTCTATACAGTCTAATCACTAATTGTCATACCATTCGAATTTCATATTAAGAAATTCTTTTAACCCAAAAAGCTAATTATGCTCCCTTCGAACTGGTTGTCTTTAAACTACAAATCTTTTGTAATCCCAGGCTATCTGATATCAGAAGCACATTTATAACTGGAATATAATTTAATTTCATTCACATGTGTTTCATAAACACATAATCCTTTCTGGATTTCAATCCACCATCAAAATTATACATTTAATTATTCCGGCTGCTGTGAGAAAAGGCTATAAACGATCGGCCACCTGCAGGATCCTCACATGCGATAG